ATCGCAAGGCTGCCACCGAGCAATTAGACCAGGATGTCGTCAGAAAGTTAGTGGACATACTCAGGGAAAACCCGTACTCCCAGCAGTTTAGGAGTTTGGGTGCGCACAGGGACAACCTCGATGATTACAGGATAGACCTCAACACTGACCAGAGACTAGACCAACGGAAGTATAATAGACCTCTGTCATCTGAGGTCGCTGCAATTTGGGTGGAGGGCACTAACCTAGCAAAGAGGTTCGATCGTAGGATTACACTTTGCGGGAATGACAACCAGAGGCACAGTATACATGTGACGGCTGGCTCGTATGACCCACTCTCTTAACCACTCTTCTACCCAAGGGGGGAGCTCGGTTGGCACCCGAAACTACCTAAACGTGACGTCCCTTGGCCGGTTGTGCAACAACCAAGAGGTAGACGTGATGATGATATGATGAGGAGGATGCAGGTAAGCCTTATGTGTATTATGTCGTTTGGATGAATTGTATACTTCTCATATGAATCCTAATGTCCGCGTTACTCATCCATGTGCAGAGGGGAATAGCAGATTATGCGTCTCAGTGAGAGACTACTACTGTTACATGCTCCAGACACGACCTGGGATATTCAATCCCATACTCTGTGGAGCACGATTGCTCCAACAATGGGGAGTGGACATGTACATCAAGATTGAGAGTTGTAGATTGAAATGGTACAGGAAGAACCAGACAAAGATCCGTGCCGACCTGTATAAAGGAGTTGTTGATGCAATTACATCCGGGGAGACCCGGGCAAGCGCTGTTGGAGTAAGGATAGTGCTCCCTGGAACGTACCCAGGTGGCGACCGCGACATGAAGAGGAGGCATATGGATGCCATGGCAATTGTCCATACCTACGGGAAGCCTGACATCATCTTGACCATGACCTGCAACCCTAACTGGGAAGAGATAACGAATGAGTTGTTTCCTGGTCAGACAGCGCAAGACCGACCTGATCTTGTGGCTCGTGTGTTCCATGGCAAGCTGGAGGCTATGAAAGAGATGTTGTTCAAGAAGAATATCCTCGGTGTTGTTGCCGCACATGTATATGTAGTCGAGTTCCAGAAGAGGGGCCTCCCCCACGCACCCTTTGTTGATCATGGATTCTGCCTACAAGCTTGTCGTTCCGGAGCAGTATGACCGACTCATTTCTGCCGAGCTCCCAGACAAGCAGAAGTATCCTGAACTCCACGCCTTGGTGGTGAAACATATGATGCACGGACCATGCGGTGCTCTCAACCCCAAAAATGTGTGCATGCAACAGAACGAGTGCAAGTGCAGATACCCGCGGCCGTTCAATGAAAACACGACACATGGCAAGGACTCATACCCAGTTTATCGTCGTCGAGATAATGGTCGGCAGGCTAAGGTTCGGGGTAAAATGTTGGACAACAGATGGGTTATGCCATATAACCCTTACCTTATGCGGATGTTCAATTGCCACATCAACGTTGAGGTTTGCTCCAGCATAAAGGCCGTCAAATACCTTTACAAGTACATATACAAGGGCCATGATAGAGCTTCTTTCAGCATCGACCAGCCCGACGCCGATGGTAACATTGATGAGATCAAAAGATACGTAGACGCGAGGTGGGTTACTCCTCCAGAGGCGATGTGGAGGATATTTGGCTTCCCCTTGTGTGCCAATGACCCGCCTATCCTACAGTTGCCTCTTCATCTCCCGAATATGCACAGGGTGGCATTCAATGAGCAAGCTCACTTGACCGACGTAGTCGCCTCTGAGAATGCTTCCAAATCCATGTTGACAGAGTATTTCAAAGCTAACCAAAACCACCCGTGGGCTAGGAATATATTGTACAAGGATTTTCCTGGAAGGTTCACATGGCAGAAGGGTAAGAACTATTGGAAAGAGCGGGTGGAGCGTTATCAGATAGGTCGAATTGTGTCTCCCAATCTTGCCGAGGGGGAGCGATACTATCTGCATGTGCTGCTAAACCATGTTGCTGGCAAGACATCCTATGAGGACCTGCTCACCGTGGACAGTAGGCTATGCGGGAGCTTTAAAGAGGCTGCCGAAAGGTTGGGACTCGTCGAGGCAGATAACACGCTCGACGACTGTCTTACCGAGGCAGAGCAGTGGACGATGCCATGTTCGCTCAGGAGGCTCTTTGCAACAATTTTGGTGCACTGTGAGCCAGGTGACGTGCGTGGTTTATGGGATAGGCACTTCGAGGCTATGTCTGATGACTATCAACGATCACACATGTGCCCGATTGAGGTGGAGCAGATGGTGTTGCTTGACATTAGGGGTATGTTGTATTCCATGGGCAAAGACATAGCTGATTTCGCTCTTCCATGCATTAACGATGCGTTCGACCCAACCGAGGGCGAGGCCAGAGAAGTTTCGAGGAATCTAACATCGATTTTGACATCAACGACACTAAATTGGCTTCGTCGCTAAACCCCGAGCAGAGGGTTGCATACGACGCGATACTAGCTTTTTTTGAACGCGGTGATGGGGGTGTGTTCTTTGTTGATGGCCCGGGAGGTACAGGGAAGACCTTCCTATACAGGGCGCTGCTCGCCAAGGTTCGAAGCGAGGGAAACATCGCTATCGCTACCGCGATGTCAGGCGTCGCCGCTCCTATCATGCCTGGAGGCAGGACTGCCCACTCGAGGTTCAAGATCCCGTTGAGCTGCGACGATGGCGCCTCATGCACCTTCACGAAGCAGAGTGGTACCGCCAAGCTAATGAGGATGGCCTCATTGATACTATGGGACGAGGCCACCATGACTAAGCAACAGGCGGTCGAGGCACTGGACAACAGCATGCGTGACATCATGGGAAGACGGGACCGACCCTTTGGAGGAAAAACTGTTGTGTTTGGCGGGGACTTTAGGCAGGTGCTTCCGGTCGTCAGGAGGGGGTCTCAGGGTCAGATAATCGATGCAACCCTTCGAAGTTCACACCTCTGGAAGGGTATGCGCCAGCTAAGGCTCATCACCAACATGAGAGCTCATAATGACACCTGGTTTGCGGATTACTTGCTAAGGGTAGGCAATGGCACCGAGGAAGTTGATGATCAAGGAAACATACGACTCCCTGGAGATATTTGTGTGTCGTCTACAGGCGAGGGTGACGACCTGGAGAAGCTGATTGACCATGTGTTTCCGAGACTAGATGACAACATGTCCGATCCGAATTACATGACTTCACGCGCAATCCTCTCCACCACGAACGACAATGTCGACAAGATAAACATACGCATGGTAGAGCATTTTCGTGGAGAAGAAGTAATCTACCATAGCTTTGACAGTGCAGAAGACGACCCGTATGGCTACTACGCTCCCGAGTTCCTAAATGGATTGACTCCCAACGGTCTTCCTCCGCATGCACTCAAATTGAAGCTCAACTGCCCTGTCATACTTCTGAGGAATATTGATCCGGCTAATGGTCTGTGTAACGGGACGAGGCTTGTGGTGCGAGGTTTCGAGAGGAACGCCATCGACGCAGAAATCGTGATCGGACAACACGCAGGTAGGAGGGTATTCCTTCCTCGAATACCCCTATGCCCGTCTGACAACAACATGTTTCCATTCAAGTTCAAGAGGAAGCAATTTCCTGTAAGGCTTAGCTTTGCTATGACGATTAACAAGGCTCAAGGCCAGACGATTCCGATTGTTGGCGTGTACCTACCTAATCTGGTGTTCTCTCATGGTCACCTCTATGTCACATTGTCTCGAGCCACCGCAAAGAGAAATATAAAGATCCTCATTGAGAAGGAGAAGGAGAAGGAGAATGCTAAGAAGCAAAGCGGTAAATCTAAGAAGCGGAAAAGACCTGCCTTGTCCTTATAGACCTCGATGAAGAACATCGTCTATAAGGAAGTCCTTACAGGCTGAAGTCCGCTCTTAAATATGTGAGAGGATTTACTCTTATGCTATAGGTAATTTGGTGCTCTTTGGTGTCTTTGTACATATCTCTATCTTTTGATGCTTGCAATTGAACTTTATTATGTTTATACTACAAGGCGAGTATTAATAATATTGCCTCGGATTTGTGACTTTGCAAGTTGCCAAATTCTGCTGTATGTGACATTATTTTTTGTTTTGCTGGTTTGCTTATGTATATTATTCTTTTGTTGTTTTGTAATCAATCATCTACTACATCTAAACCTGGCTTTGTTTTCCTGCACAAATATTGCACACTGCCTTGATCACTCCGTTCTTGTAAAACTAGACTCCATTGGAGTGTTCTACATTAGAGAAATGCACAGTCAATGTTATTTATTTTTGTTTACCATGTCATTTTTGTGACCGATGAGTATCTTTGGTATTAGAACTCCAGTTACACCAATTGGTTATTTGCATCTCAAGTTAAATTAGTCACTGTTAATCAAAATGAAATGTGGCCATTGGTTCTTCGATAATTGATGGTACAGATGGTCAAAGCAATAATGATATACCCCGCTGGATTAATGGTATAGAAGTATCTTATTTATGTTTGTTCCTTTTCTTTTACTCCTGGGCCATGAACAGATGAGGGCATGAACAGAAGTGCTAGGTGCATATAAATTCAAAGGCACTTTGCTCATGTTATATGCACGGTGCACCAGCAAAGTGCTTCTACAAGTATTCCTAGCAGTCCAGAACTGCAAATACTCCTACTGCAAACAAAATTCAGTAAATTTCAGTGCATCTACTGCAAACTAAATTCAGTGCATCAACTGCATGTACTCCTAGAGTACTCTTTCTTGGAAATTCAGTGCATCTACTAGAAACAAAATTCAGTAAATTTCTAGCAACTACTCCTACTGCACGAAAAAATGAGTGAGTTAAGCATGCAGACATACCTGATGCTCCAGGGGCATAAAACGATAATCTTCCGAGCTGTTGCAAATTGGATCAGAATCCAATTCTCAGTGTCAATGCCATATTTAATCATAAAATCCTTAAGAAGAAGGCGCAAGAACTTCAAATGTTCCTTTTCACGCAATTTGATTTGATGCAAGCGATTAGCTTCCTTAACAATAGTCGTTAACCTGGATAAAGAGGAGCATTTGCTTTAAGTGAAAAAAAAACATAAATAAAGGTTAAAATTTTCTAGAAGTTGGTACAGCGCTGAATATAACAAAATGAGGTTCTCAATTGTCAACTTACAGTACGGTATGTCTATGAAAATAAAGTACACAATAAGTCAGGAAATCTTAGCATCGCATAACCAAAGGAGATTTATTAATGCTTGCTATAGAAGATGAGAACAGTAGGAAAGAAGATAAAGTACTAACATTGACAAGGGAGAACATCAACTTGTGAGAAATAAGGAAGGACAAGAGGTAAGCTCACCGTCTCGAGGTTGCAAGTAATGTCATGTTGATGTAAGAATATCGTTGAATCTTCAGTAGGATCTGATAGTCTTTTAGGCAATAAAGTATGCATGGGCTTCTTCTGAGTGCAAATTCTCATCTCACAATCCGGAACGTCAACATGCAGACATGTTATTCCCTGAAAAATCAAATCATGATCAATATATTGTTCACCCTGACAAGCAACAAGAATGCTTATAAAGTTATACTAACCAGGTTCTTTTCAATTATTACTTTACATTCAGTACACCCTACAACTAATTTCTTCTCATAACCACACAAGTCGGTGAGCCTCTTGGCCAGGTGATCGTCAATAGCATTATTAGCTATGTCAACTGGGGAGGGCACCGTCTCATTTCGTACGAATTCTTTCAGACTCTGAGAAATAAACACAGAAGATAATTAAGAAGCTTGTCAAATACAGTATAACGCAATTGTCTAAACCATGAAAGGAGACATGATCATTGATTAAAAAATGGGAGCGTTACTAACAAGCGGTGGCAAGCATTACCAAAAGTCCTGTAGAAAAAGCAGAGTAATCGATTAGATGATCTTGAGTTTTTCATTGATGACAGCCAAATCTTAAGGAGCATCAGCAAGAAGAAATAAGAACCTTTGCTGGATCATTGAGGTAGTCCCCATCAAAAGAGAAAATTGCAATGCCAACGGGTGCTTCATATAGCAGCACAATAGTCATGTCTCCTGTCGGGAAACCAAGTAAAGTACGCACGGGATTCATCTGACTCCTAATTATGATCTCATAATCCGGAACATCAACATAAAGACAGGTTATTCCCTGAAAAAGCAGGCGGTGGTCAGTACTGTTCACCCAGACAGAAGCAACAAGAAAGCTTACAAAGTATACTAACCAGGTTCATTTCAATTATTCTTTTATATTCAGCACTTCCCACAACTAATTTGTTCTTGAAACCACACAGTTCGGTGAGCCTCTTGGCTAGGTGATCGTCAATAGTGTTATTAACTATGTCAATGGGGCAGGACACCGTCTCATTTTGTATGAGTTCTTTCAAACTCTGGGAAATAAACATAGAAGGGATTTAAAAATCTTGTCAGATACAATACAAGTGTCTAAATCATGAAATAAGCAGGGTATTTGACAAAGCAGTGCGTCAATCATAAAGTAGTCTTGCTTAAGCCTTTGTATGTATGTTTCTCTCAGTAATGCTCTCGAATGTTCATGCATAGAGCTAGATGTCTATATTCTTCCATTCTTGGTAGGAGTACCATGTCAGAGCTCATTGATCCCTAGCTAGGAAGATCTAACCACTCAGTAGAAAATCTGAATTTTGGGTCAGCCCTAGCTAAGTTGCTGCAAGCAATTTTGGGTCGGCCCTAAGTAACTGAACGATTACAGAAATCTGAATTCGACATGAGCTCCACACAACCAAGTAGTGCTTATTATCTGTTCTATGTCGCTGGTAGGTATCCACGCTAGCTACAGCCGAGTCAACTCCACTTTTCTGAACAACTGCTACAGGCGCAAGACAAAAAGGAAATCCACAGATTGCCCAACCACAACAAAGAACAAAACATCTTCTCATCGAGAGGAAAAGACAGGGGGCAAAGGTAGGCAGAGCATCAAGACGAATCGATTCGTCTAGCTGACGAGCTAGCGAGCCAGCCAGTCCATTCGGAACAGAGCCCGCACGCACCCGCAGAGGAAGCGCGGAGTGAAGGAGGGAGGTGGTAGCAGGAAGGGGGAGGCGTACCCGCACTTGTCGCAGAGCACGGCAAAGCCGCCGGATTGCAGCGGCCAGTCCTTCCTCCACTCGCCCACCCTCGCCGCCGTCGGGGCGGGCGCGCCGCACGCCGCGTTCATGCACCTCGCCGCCGCCGCCGTGGGAGACGAGGGAGCCGGTTGTGCGCGCACCTGATTGACGTCGGATGAGTGGAGGGGAAGGGATGAGAGGGGGCGGCGGTGGGAGATGAAGTCGCCGGCTGTGGGGGGAGAGCGGAGGACTGTGCTGGAATGGAGAAAGTGAGGGAGACTGGTGCTGGTTGGTTTTTTTTTGAGTAATACTGTTTTTTCTTTATAACTTGGAGTAATACTGCTGGGCTGGGTGCTGGTTGGCCGTGCTGGTTAGCCAATTTGGGCCTTTGACGTTTGCTCTTCGAAGGAAAAATACACTAAAGTATATACATTGGATCATATGAATAAATGTTTTATACTTATTACATATATTCAGAGTATCACAAAAAAATCAAAATTTTGAGAAAAGAAACCGAATATACTAGGTTTATGTTGGATTGCTTGCATGTTTTTAAGTTTTGTCGAACAATTTTCCTTAGCCTATAAAAAAGAATTAAAAAATATCAAAAAAATATAAATAGCTTAAAATGATTTAAGAAATTTCAGATGACATATTATTTATATATGAACATTATAGTTGGTTGTTTGCTCCGAAAGAAATGCAACATCTTTTTTGTAATAATATGAAAAACGGTTTTTCTTTTTACAAAATAAAACAAGTGTGTTTGTTTCACTCTTAATTTTATTATACTCCCTCCGACCGAAAATACTTGTCCTAGAAATGCTTGTATCTAGACTTATTTTAGTTATAGATACATCCATTTTATCCATTTCTAGGACAACTATTTCTGAACGGAGGGAGTATATTATATATGTTTATATGATGCAGTAGCAAATATCATTTATATTTCATCACAGATAAAAAGTGATGGGTTTCGACATACACATTGATGTAACGATGACAGGCCAGACTGAAAGACGATGAGAAGAGGTATATAGCTAATCATTCTTTGTCTGTGCCTTATACATGATAATACAAAATGTTTATTTTTTATATATTATTATTTTCCCGAATATAGGAAACATAGATATGGATTTTGGAGATGCACAAAAAGAATGCATCAACAAGGGTTCCGAAGCGACGACGCTGAAAGGGGCCGAAAAATCACCGAGTTTTTCACAACAAAATGATGTGGAGGCTGTGATATCTCATAAAAAAACAAAAAAGGATGCCAATTTACATGTTATCGCACAAGGTATTCTTTTCAATGTTTTGGAACGAAGGGAGTATATAATATAGTAAAATATAGATATAATCTAAACATGGAATTACAGGTGATAAATGCTTATATGTATTGCATGCTAGCTCACAACCATCTACGAGACAGGGCGGGTGAAAAGGTACATAATATTAGCACGTCCGTTTCTGGCCAAATGAAAGAAGACGGAGAAAAAGACCTAGACCCATCAAAATATCGTCATTTCTTACAACATGTTAATACTTATCTACAACAAGATATGGTTAGTATCGCCTCATTATCTATGCATATCATGATGTATTTTTTTAATTAATCCATGTGTATAATAATTTATTATTTTTTATACCTAATTGTGACTATGACTTATATGATATTTACACAGGCTGTTCATTCCAATTAACATGCCTCGAACTCATTGGTATCTGGCAGTCGTCGATGCCAAAAAAACGTGAAATTCAAGTATTGGACTCACTTGGTTCTCGGATCGAACGGACTGAGCTTACTACTACGGTAACTACTATTGTTTTTTGGTCCTCTTAACATATGTTTTGTTTGCCTTAACCCCTACTATTTTCCATATATAAATTAGTTACGAGGACTTGAAAAGCATTTGAAACTTGGAGAACAGAGTCCAAAGTTTAACAGAGATCATAAGTGGCTCAATCTCAATGTTACAAAATGGAATGCCGTAGAATAGTTTCATGAGGCAATACAAACGGATCGGTAAGCACTTGTCACAAATTGAAAAATATTGTGTTTGATACTCATGAACACAAAAAATATCATACAATAGAAAATATTGATAGTAAAATATTGATAGTAAAATATCATACACGGCGCAAGACAAAGCCTCCTCCCTACGCGCGTCCATCGTCACATATCCGTCGCCGAGAGCCTGCCGTGCCATGCCGCCGAGACTCCACGTCGTTGATGCGTCACATGGAACGTTGCTCCATTGCTGGAACCATCCACTTGTATATTTGTCATAGAATTTTAATAAGATAATACAAGAATGTCATTTTAATAAGGCACAATTAATGACAACAAGCAAGCGAAGAGATACTTAACTTGTTTAGAAATTGACGAAAGAAGGGGCCCACCCCGGTAAAATTCAGGGGGGACAAATTGGTGAGGAAAAATTATGCAACATGCCCCTAAAAGGGCAGTAGGTGTAGGATTATTGATATTTCCCTAAGATCCATAATGTACTCCCTCATCTTGGTGGAATCACATAGATCGCCTTGGTCTCGCATCTCTCACCTCCCCCCACAACCCCCTCATCACTAAACCCCTATCCCAGTGCCGCTACTCCCTCATATCTCTCTCCCTCTCGATATGTGCCCCTCGCCTCTCCCTCTCCGTCGATGCATCTATCTCTTCCACCAGCTCCGCTCGGTCCTCTCAGCCTCCTTTCCCATGACCCACATTTGGTCGTGGCGGATCTCCACAAGATGAAGCTGGAGCACGATGGATGGCCGCACCTTGCAAGCCATGTGCTGGTGAACTCCTCAGTGGCGACTTTGTGGCACCGGCCAGCGAGAGAAAGCTCCAACTATAGTGCCCATTGCGCGACTATGTGCCACAGCTGGGCAAGCAGTGACAAGTAGTAGGGACACACATCCGCAACAACGACTTGATTCCTTTGCAGCTATCACAAACGTCTCAATTTGGGAATGGTAGTATGTTATTAACCTTGGTAGCTTTTCCTAATAATGGCAAGTTCGATTTTGAGTATATGGCTTGTATTTTGATAGATCTTTTGACATCTATATGGGCGTACGCGTGGTATTTTGACATGAATATGGATGGATAACTTGTATGTTGATGCATTTTTGACATGTGTATGAGTGAATAACTAGTATTTTCTTTGGCAAATTCTTTTATTATGTATAAAGAATACAAATACTAGTGACAATTATGCATATTTGTGAGAGGTAACCTTACTATATTTTGTGGAAGAGGCGCCAGATGACCCAAATGCATTCCATTCCATGTATCTAACCAAACACTAAAATGGAATGGTTCCAGTTCACCTACTTGCCACAACAAAACATAGGAATGAAATCAACCTATTCCAGTGGAATAGAACTATGACATTTTGTTCCACTTTGTTCTCCAACAAAACACACCCTAGGTGAATGATTCTCCTGTTGGGAAACGTAGTAATTTCAAAAAATTTCCTACGCACACGCAAGATCATGGTGATGGTATAGCAACGAGAGGGGAGAGTATTGTCCACGTACCCTCGTAGACCGTAAGCGGAAGCGTTATGACAACGCGGTTGATGTAGTCGTACGTCTTCACGATTCGACCGATCCAAAGCGCCGAACGTACGGCACCTCCGTGTCCAGCACACGTTCAGCTCGATGACGTTCCCCGGGCTCCAATCCAGCAAAGCGTCAGGGATGAGTTCCGTCAGCACGACGGCGTGGTGATGATGATGATGTTCTACCGGCGCAGGGCTTCGCCTAAACTCCGCGACGATATGACCGAGGTGGAATATGATGGAGGGGGCACCGCACACGGCTAAGGAACGATCCGTAGATCAACTTGTGTGTCATGGGGTGCCCCCCTCCCCCCGTATATAAAGGAGTGGAGGAGGGGAGGGCCGGCCCTCTCTATGGCGCGCCCTAGGGGAGTCCTACTCCCACCGGGAGTAGGATTCCCCATTTCCTAGTCCAACTAGGTGTCCTTCCAAGTAGTAGGAGT